GGTCATTGAACCCAGTTTGCTGGGTTCGACGAAACCCCGTTTGGGTTCCATCGAACCCAACAGATCTGGGTTCGATGGAACCCATTTGCTGGGTTCCGTCGAACCCAGCAACTGGGTTCGCTGGAACTTTTTGACATCATCTGTCCTCTTCCATTCCCTCACTGGCTTTCCTTGCATCACTCCATTTGATGCCCACCATTTTCTACTTTGTTTTCTGGCAAAGGTTATCGGTTGCCGACCCTATGGACCACAAGAGGAATGGCAAAAGAGCAAGGCCATACCTTATTATCCATAACGATCCAAACATATGAAATACATATCAAAACATCAGTTCTCAAATGCAAAGTAGCATTTTCTGAGTTTTAATCCATATGTTTTTTTTATACATATAATTCAGACAATAAATCTTGGGTAGAGAAGTAAGAAATGAATAATTCAATAATGGATGCATTGCCACTTAATTTGCTTGTTTTGATACAAATTCTCAAACTCCTGTGAGTGCATATGCGATGGCGCAGAAGGGAAGAGCCTCGGGTTCCTTGGCTGACAAAGCTGCAGTTCCCAATCCATGGGCACTAGAACAACACAAGGAAAAATATAAAAAAGCAGATTCAAAGAATAGAGATGAACAATTTTGTGATTCATCAGAACAAAAAAAAGTTGTTCATATAAACAAACAAAAAAAAAATGTGGAGCTGGGTTCTGTCGAACCCAGCAACTGGGTTCAATGACCCGGGGAAGAAAGAAGAAGAAGAAAGAAGAGGAAGGAAAAAAAAAAAGAAAAAGAGAAAGGAAAAAGATGACCGTGAGTTATTTTATTTTATTTTTTAAAATATAAATAATAATAATGTGAGTTGGCATGAAAAAAAAATCCACGGGGCAACACGTTTTCAATTTGATTTTGCTACGTCATCAAAAAAATTATAAAAAATGCCACATAAGTGAGTTAACGATCGAAATTAACAGAAGGATTAATGGAGTGCATTTCGTATAGTTGAAGGATAAAAAAAGTGCAAAAAATTGTTGAGGGACCAAAAATATTCATTTTTTAAAGTTAAGGGACCAAATTAAGCATTTAACCATTTATCAGCTGCTGAAGCTAATAAGTCAGTGGATTTCTCTCCACTCTCCCACATTTAATGGGTCTACCTCCCGACCTGTGTTCCACGTAGATTCCCATGATTAGATATAGCAAAAATATTTGTATTTTTTTAATAAAAAAATATAGTATATTGCTTCTATTTTACAATAATTCTAGTGCTAATTTTTTATTTTCTTTAAATTAAAAATTTATATCTAAAAAATTAAAAAAAATCAAATTAAAATTATTAAAAATAAATATAAAATATTATTTGGGGATATAGGGTAAGGACTTTTTTGTCAAATTAAAAAATGATTTATTGACAAATGAAAAATATGATGTACTACAATTCTTATTTATTCTTGTAATATAAGTAAGGCGCATAATATTATATATATATCTATTAATGTACCAATTATTGAATTAAACAAAATTGTTAACTATTAATTTTAAATTATTATACCAAATATTTTTAAATTTTAGCATGCTTAATTGTTCTTTTTTTGGGCCAATGGGCATGCTTAATTAAGATATCAGTTCTTATATACTTCCAAATTACTGTTGAATGAGTATTAACTTTTAAAAAACATCTATTATTTTAGATTAGTGTTAATTAATAAGATAAAATTATTATCACACTCTATAGCATTTAGCATCGCTAAATATACTCTTAACAAGTTGCCTCAGGGATAAGTGGGAACCGTGAAAGAGGGTTACATTTAGGAGGATGGCTAAGCATACCTAGAAAGACGGCTTTTAGGTTCTTTTGACATTCTTTATTAAGTACTTTCATTATCATAGATTTCATGATGGTTGTTAGGCGAAAGACTTTTTTTTTTACTTTTCCTTCAAGCACGAAGGTCGTGTGGTCATTAAGTAACTCACCCTAACATGTGGCTGTTTAAGGGGTACTTGCCCTTTGTCTTGGTCTCACCTACCTAAGCGGTTTGCCTCATTACTTCTCCCCCTTATAATTGAGCAATTATCAAACCAACCAATCTTGGTTCTATGACTTCACAAAACCGGAGAGGAATAACTCTTATATAATTATACCCTTCCCTGATGTATACTTATTTGACTTGTTTTGTATTCACAAACGAAAATAATTGTCCTTTTTTAACTAAAAACTTGCACCAACTTAATTAAATGGGGTAAGTTGCAAGTCCCTGCTATCTATATCACATCATTAATTGTCATGCATGCATCATAACATGGGCTGCTTAATTAATTCATTTGGACTTGAAAAGGTAGGGCCGCAAGAGCTGCTTCAATGAATGGCCCATCCTGCAACCACAATTCCACATCATATTACAAAAAAGAAAAAAAAAATGTCATCAAATAATTATGGATTCCGAGATTGAAAGAAGCGTGCAACTTTGCTGAATTACAATAATATGGTTAAATGTTATTTTTAGTTTTTTAATTTATAATTTTTAATATTTTTATTTTTTAACTATTTTTTATACTTTTTCTTTCTTTCTTAAGCTATAAAAAATATTTTTTTATTTTTTATTAATGTAGTCTGTTAAATTTGTTTATATATGTAAATATTTAACCTTTGAACTTACGTGCACATTTTGACTTATAAGTTTTGAAATTAAAAATGTATATATATAAAAATAAACTTAACAAACTGATTAAAAAAATAAAAAATACATTTTTTTTTTCACAATTGAAGGACAAACATGTAGAAAATAATTTAAAAATTAAAAATATTCAAAATTTTAAAAGTTTCGGGAACTAAAAATCACTTTTAACTAGGGGTAAGTATGTGTAGGTATTGGCTCACACCTGTATTTGACTTGAACAGTAACATGTACAAAATTTTAATATCCAGGACTTACCTCTAGATATTAAAAATTTATACATGTTACTCAACTTGTTAAGTATAGGTATACCTACAAGTATATTTTTATATTTGTTAAATTTTACACTGAAAATACATAAGTTAATATACAATTACAAGTTCATACATATAGTACAAATTTATACATATAATACAAGTTTATATATACAATAACAAAAGAAATACAAATAAAAATCCACATGATTTTTCTTTAGTTGAATTTTCACCGTTAGAAAAAAAGAAAGAAAAAAACATAAATATTTTAATTTTATAACATTATGTTATAAATTAAGCATATAAAACTAAAATATATGTCGGATATACAAATCAAGTATATGGGTTAAATATACAGATTAGGTATACAAGTATTAACTTTTAGACCCAATACTTACCTAATACTTAGCAGGTATATTTTTCATATCTGACATTTAATTATCTCTTCACATATATAAATAAAATACATATCCAAATAAATCAGGTACATTCAAATACCAGATATACCCATACCCGATGTTCAGCCTTACTTTTAACCACATCGATTCCGCAGGCATTGTATCGGCCCAGCTGCAGTGTTTCCTTTAATCCTTCAAAGTGCTAATCTTTAGCTGTGGGTTAAGGCCCAAAGTTTTTTTTCAATGGACCGAAACTGAGCTTGATAGTTGATAATGAGACACTTATTGTGATTCGATTAAGAATTAAATTATTGCCGGCATATTGGGCTCTTTTAAAAATTGGGCCGTAGCCACCTTCTGATTCGATCGCCTTGCATGCTGTGCTGTGTTGATAATAATTTCGACATAGCGGTACTAAACCCACTGGGAATTGCCGGGTCCATCATCTATGACCTTTCTTACTGGGTTTAATTTTCTAGGCCTATCTAGGGGAACAGACCCATTTAGAAAATTTGGCTTCGTAACAAAGGCCGTTTGACAATATTTT